ACCTTGAGGAGGAGATTTATGTGAGGCTTCTAGATGCCCCATTGTCATGGGGTCCTACATATCCAGGGCAGGGTTGTTACTTTTGGTCTTCTTGTTTGTGTCTTGTTGGTGTTCTTTTAATGAAGCCTCTAGCAGATGAAGGAATTAGTTAAAATGTTACTTTCAATCCTTTTGGGATAGGATGTAATTTCTGGTAAGTTTACAGCATCTTGTCACTGGGGACATACAGAGACCTGTGTTAAGTGAAGAAGGAGTTCTACCTGGCATATCTAGAAAAATTACATCAAATAAGCTTTACATGCAAAATAACTTTAATACAGGTAGCATTCATGTCATATGTGGTTTTGTTACCCTACTGAATAGTCATGGGGGTAGGGGAGCTTTCTAAGGATAAAGGATGTAGATAAGTGCCTGATTGTTTAATTTGGTTCCATCAGGATAGGCATCATTAACTTATCCTCGTCTGCAGTCACAATCATAATACACCGATAGCTGTCTGCACATCCTTCATAATTTTACATTCTGATAAATCCACTGTCCATTATAAATGCATGTAGCATACTACACCTAGCTCAGCAAAAATGTACCAATAGTTTAACTTTGTGGTTGGCAGCAGTGTCAACTCACACATACTGTTCAATGTACCAGGAGAGAGGACCACACTGCTCATCATCACTGGATGTACAGATTCTATTAAATCAGTATCACTTTTATACCATCTCCATGTTGACTGTTAGTAATGTGTAGCCATGTCAAGATGGAGTGTTTCCTGAAATTCTTGTATTCCTCCTTACTATGGAGGCCAAAATCAGAAAAAGGAGGCAGAATGCCATTTGGTTGTGTGATGAAATTTTCCTGGGGAGATGCAAAACTTGTCTACTTACTCCAGATAAGGAACCCATGACAGACAAAAGCATGGGTACCATCCGAGTCCAACTTAGTAAACTAGTTGAGTTTTATTGGGGTTATTTACAGAAGTATGGATGAGAGGTTATTTATAGGATCATAAATGACTCAAAGACAGCTTTTCCATCAAGGTCCTCCCCCATGGGTGCTAGCTCACAATGCTGGGAAGTTGCAGCTCACTGAACAGCCTGGTTTCTGCTTTCTTTCAGGCAGCTGGTCTGGTCTCAAGAGTTTTCTTTGAGGCTTGACTCTAGTCTTCTCAGCCTGACTTTCAGTTGTTACTGATTACTATGCAGGTAGGGGCCCAGTGAACTAACCTGCTCTTGTCAGTTCCAGGGACTTCCTGAAGCTATTGTGAATTGTTTGCCTGAATGCTTAAGGAGTTCCCTACAGAATGGAATCTTTTAATTCCAGAGGAAACTGTTACATAACAGAGAGGAATAACATGGATCACACATCTCCCTTCACTAACCAAAAAAGCTTCAGCTAAATTTCTGCAGGGTCATCCAAAGGGGATTGTAGATTTGTGACTGGCCTGTACAATAGCAGGTACTTTTCTGTTCTTCTGTTCATTTAAAATTATATTCAACACAAAAATTCGCTAGAACTCATAGGAGAATTCAGTGTTTTGATTCTGCCTTTTATCTCCTAAAATGTATTGTTTTACAATCCACATCAGTACCAATAGTGGCCAATGCCTTGCTTACAGTTTCTTCATTTCTATTATCTGAGTGCCTGATGAAAATCCACTTTATCACACACCCCAGAAGAGCAGTTGGGAACTTGGAAGCTGAAGTAAATTTATGCATTTAAGCTGTAACTCTGTGGTTTGCATGTTAATTACCTCATGCCTTATTAAAGGTATCTTATCAAATAAAGAAAAAGCCTTTGTGATTAGCTCTGAGCTTTGAATATTTCTTTCCCTTTAGTTTGCCCTCTTAGAGAGAAAGGCCTTTGGATGGCATCTATAAATGTTGGTTTTCAAATGCTTCACATGGGGCTTCCAGGTATAAATAAATCCCTATATTAGAATATTGAATGTACTTTCAAACAATACTTTTTTAACAAATGTGTCTTTTAGGTAAATAAACCACCCAGAGACAAATATTGTGGTTCAAGTTTCAAGCTAAAGATAAGAAAATCAAAGCAGCCAACTCACTACTTCTTACATCTATCTTTGGCTGAAAGAGCTGATCCTGTCTGCATGAGCTCTCACCAAGCTCCAGACTGCTGTGTCTCCTCAGTATGATTGGAGGGAGAATCAATGCCTTCCTATCCTCAGTGTTGCTGGAGAATTAACACCCAGCTCTGAGACCCTATTCCTGTCTTAAATACCTCTCATGTGTCCTAAGATTAAAGGTGTGAGCTCTATTACCCTTTCAGACTGATTCAATCTCATGTAGCCCTGTGTGGCCTTGAACTCAGATGGATCCATCTGCCTTTGTCTCCTGAGTCCTGGGATTAAAGGTGTGTGGCTTCTATGGCTGACTATTATGGCTGCTTTGCTATTTTGATCTCCAGTGGATTTAATATATCATAAACAATATATCACCACAATATCTGTCTGTACCTGTTTCCTCTCTGTGTCTGAACATCTGTTTTTCTTGGTGTTCACTGTGGTCATTAGATTGGAATCAGATCTCTACTTGTTGTCACTGCATATGTGTAGGTAGACTGAGTATAGCTTACTGAAACTGAGAAATACAATCCTGATTCAGTGAAACACATACCTTAGAGTGTTAGTTCACAGCCTGATGTTAGGACAGAGACAATTGTCTTGACAAGTTCAACTGGAATAGTTATATAGCATACATGTACTTACTGACTGAATTATGTACTTTATGTGGCTTAGACACTGAGTTTTCTTACAATTATTTAATCCCAATTTTGTTGTTGTTGTCGTTTTTGTTTGTTTGTTGTTTTATACAGGGTTTGTCTGTATCACTTTGGATCCTGTAGTGCAACTAGCCCTTGTATACCAGGCTGGTCTAGAACTCACAGAGATCTGCCTGCCTCTGCCTTCTGAGTGTTGGGATTAAAGGCATGTGCTGCCACCACCACCAGGCCTCCAATTTTATTTGTTTTATGATGAAGTTTAAGACTTTGGATTCTGTCTTCAGGGGAAAATAAGTAATTATAGAATAATCAGTCATGCAGATAAAACTATGAGACATATGCAAGTAGACCAATCAGGAATTGTGCTGTTTTCTTCATGTTTGTGTCAGTGTGTATGTGTGTGTTTATCTATGAAGCATGTATATGTATGGTGTATATGCACATGTGTATATTGGTGAGCTTGCCTGTGCAAATGCAGAGTTCAGAGGAGATGTTCAGTGTTCACTTATCAGTCTGTGCCTTGGTCCTTTGAGGCAGCCCTCTTGCTGATCTATAAGCTGTTGGGTTTGGCTAATGCCAGCACGTCCCACAACCTTACTATTTCTTCCCAATTTGGTGCTGGAGTCGTAGATATGCATGGGGCCATGCCAAAGTCATCATATGAGTGCTGGGTTCTAAGCTATGTTCTTCATGTTTTTAATATGATTTATTTGGTTATGAAACTAAAATATGCTTATATCATTTCCTCCTTTTCTTTCCTCCTTCCAACCTATCCTATGTACTATATCATTGTTCTTTCTCAAACTCATGACCTCCTCTTCTATAAATTGGTCATATATATTATACATTCATATACATACTATATAAATATGTGTGTGTGTTCTTCTGTGTGTATGTGTGTTTCTGTAAAACATGTTCAGTATGTGTGTATTTGGTTTTAGGCCTGAGCATTTGATAGTGGACAAACAATTGAGGTGCACTTCCCAAGAGAAGACAATTCTGCCACTCTCAGGTTTCCTTAGCTGCCTGTAGTTCTTTGTCTAGGGTTGAAGCCTCGTGAAATTCCCCCTTTCCTGTGAATATGTCTATTGGTGCTGTGCTTGTTAGGATCTCATGTTAGTAGTCATGTGGTTGAGGTTTCATGGTTGTAGCTTCCCTGACATTCCTATGAGCTTCAGTCTCACAAGAAATTCCTGTCCCTCTGGCTCTGGACAATCATTCCTCTGTCTCCTCCATAATGACCCCTCAGCCTTAGGGGGGCATTGTGTTGTAGATGTGTCAGTTAGAACTGGGTATCACATAATTACTTTTTCTCTCCATTTTGATCTGTTGTAGTTTTCAGTAGTGGTTTCTCTGTTTCATGGAAAATTTCCCTTGATGAGGGTAAGGACTTCACTTACCTGTACATATAAGGAGAAATATTTAGAAGGTAGTTAGAGAGTATTCTGGGTTCCTAAAGTAGTGATTTTATGTTTTCTTCTAAGATCCATGACCATACTAGTCCTAGATAGTGGGCTAGTTAGCATGTGTTCATAAGCACTGAAAAGTTTCTTTAGACCATGTATTAGTTTTTTCAAATAAACATCAATCACAAATGAACAGAAATATGAACTACGTATATAGCTATACTGTGATTTTTCCTTCCTGCAAAACCTGATAATTGTGTAGTTAGAGAGTGAGAACTACAAAAACAAGCATGAGTCTTGGAATAGGATGGTGTTGGAACTAAACCTCAAGCTAATTTCTAACTGCTGAGTGATTTAAAGATCCTTCTGTCTTTCCCTACCTGCACTGGGTTTTATCTATCTATTTATTTAAGGGTGATGGGAATGTTTCACGCTTAGTGTAATAACTGGCTTCAAAGAAAAAGTTGACAATTATTTCAGTAAAACCTTGTTTCTTCCAGGAGGGGATTGTCAGTTATTTTACAGTACACAGTGTGTATGGACATGTGGGAAACTTCATGCTATTGTTAGCATTTTAAAACTTCAGGTATCATATCTTGCAGCTAACTTTATTCATAAAATGCATCGAGGCACTGATGGTAGGGAGAAGAGCATCCTAAAAAGTAGTATTTGGCACTAACGAAAAAACTGTAGTGCATGGGGCAGGACCGTCACCCACAGTAGATCAATGTCAGAGAAAATAGGGTTTTTAGTGTTGTTGTCATTCCCCAAAAGTCTGACTGGAGAAGCATGCCTGTTTCTGTTGACTTGTCTTGGTACTGTAGAGCTCACTGAGTTTCCTTCTCTCTTCAGACATTTGTAGGAAACATGAATGCTGACAGTGTGGTGCACCACAAGCTGCTATACTCTGTGAGAACTCGCTTTGTTCGCTTTGTGCCCTTGGAGTGGAATCCAAGTGGGAAGATTGGAATGAGAGTGGAGGTCTATGGATGCTCCTACAGTAAGTACTCACGTGAACAAAGTCACACAGTCATTGGGTAAATAATGTTGCCCATGAAATACCAGATTATTCATATTGATAAGTGCAATTTGTGTGTGTATGTGTGTGTGTGTGTGTGCGCGTGTGCATGCACGTGTGTTCACACAGGTGCATGCTCATGTGTGTGGATACAGAAGTAGGATAGACAGAAACCTACAAAGTTCCTGAAATGCAGGGTCTTAGCCCAACCACGTAAAGCTGAGTTGGGTCTGGGTCTGAGGAAGTGTAAGTGTGCCACTTGCCCATTCCCCAGTTTCCTAGGATCCCTGACACAATCAGACTCAGTGGGGAGTCTACTCAAGCGGGAACTCATTTACTGCCCCACAGCAAGCATCTTTTAATGCAAAAAACCACAGACCGGGAAAACAGACAGCCGATGGTCAGCCTATCATGTTCCTGGATACCCTATGCTTTAACTAGTGAACATGAGTAGTTCATGCAGTAACCTCATCTGTTTCTATCTTGGCAGCCAATCACCCTTTTTTGTAAACATCTCAGGACTCACCCTTCTGACTTCCCCTTGGCATCATCTTTAACTCACTCATGTGGCCTTCACTGAAGAACACTGTTTATCATTTGACCAAGAATTTTCACTTGGAGTGGAACTTCCATCTGAGATTGTCAGTGACCCACAGAGGTCTTGTCATCTCTGTTTCCTCACTGCTAGGATTCCCAGTGTGCACCCTTACATCCAGCTTGATTTAGGCTTTGGGAATGGAATGCAGATCTTCATGCCTGCTACGCAAGCACTTTAGAAACATAGCTATTTCCCTAGCCTGTATTTTCTCACTTTATTCTAGACTTTAAATTCATATGTATGTATGTATGTATGTATGTATGTATGTATGTATGTATGTATGCATGTATGTATGAAGATGTGTACCTCAGCTGTTAAGAGTTCTTGGTGTTTGAGTAACCATATTCCATTTGCCATCAAATGTAGCTATGCTCAGCTTTTCCCTGAAAGTGTGGTGATGTATTGAGAAGCTCTTCTCTACCCTAGAATTGTGAAAGGAACATGCTCTCCTCTGCATTCTAGAAAAGGAAATTTCCACGTTGTGTAAAGGATGCAGTTTTCTTCTTCTGCAGTCATGCTCTCCATGTGCTATCATGAGATTTGTTGATAGTGAATTCGAAGTAGGGGTCCATCTTAGAAATGAGAAGGCAGTACCATGGATAGAACTGAAGATAATTGCCGAGGAAGGAGTCATGCAAGGATGCTGCTATCCTAATACTCTCCTGTAAGCATGATGCTGAACATGTGAAGTGTCATTCATTATGAATTGATTTTATTTTAAGCTGTGGAATTCACCTGATTATTTGTTATACCAATATCCAATGATGTGAAATTAGTAAACACACTTAATCAACATGCTTTTTGAAACCATATTTATCCTAGCTTTCTTTCCTATTACTTCAATAAAAGACCTTGACAGAGCGACTTAGAGGAGAAAGGGGATAGCTATTTCAACTCCAAGTCTCAGGTTACAATCCATCATTGCCAGGCAGTCAAGGTGGCAGAAGATGACAAGGCTCCTCAGTTCAGAGCAGAGAGCAAGGAATGCATGCACACATGCTGGTGCTCCACTTGGTTTGCCACCCTCAGCAATGCAGGGTATGCTGTTCAGACAGTAGCGCCACCCGGAGTGGGCGTGTCTTCACATACTCAAGATAGTTCTCCCTCTGACATGGCCAACCGAATCTGGATAATCACCTACTGAAATTATCTTCATAGGTGACTCCTTGCTGTCATGCAGGCAATTAAAACTAGCACAACATTTCAATAAATTATTGATTTGCGTCATGGAATGACCTCACATGTGACACACTAATACTGGTCCTCAAAACCAGGTCAAAATAGCACTGCCCTCGGAAGCATTTGAAGCTCTCCATGAAAATGCGCTTGCTTCCACAATGTCATATGCACTGAAATAAGATTTCAGGGTATGAAAATACAAAAAAAGCCTGTTAATAACTCCTCAAGTAAACTATATGTTAAGGTGTATTTGTCAGAAAAATGAAGTTCTGGAGGGAGGTTTTTTTTGAGAAATGAATATTTATCATGAACAAGCACTTGGTTTATGAGAGATGTATCAACAGCCTATTCAAGGAAGGATTTTGCCGCCTGTAGTCTGGGGCCATTAATTCCCCCTGTACCTCATCATTTGTTGAGGATTATTTGTCACTTCTGGTAAGAGTATGTGGGTGTTGTTGTTGATTTTTGCTTAATGATTTGTTAAGAAATTTCATGATGGAAAACACTTGAAAAAATTTATTATTTAGACAGTTATCTCTTTGGATCTAATAATTTCAGTTACATTTGAGAGAGAGAGAGAAAGAGAGAGAGAGAAAGAGTGAGAGAGAGAGAGAGAGAGAGAGAGAGAGAGAGAGAGAGAGAGAGAGAGAGAGAGAGGATTGAGCTCTGGCTATATGACTTGGCACCAAGTATTCTGACTCAATAAGGAGGCATTTGCTAGCCCTGGTGTAGTGACTTTTGTTAGTCTTTCAAATATCTCCATACTTTAGTTTTTTTCCCTCAGAATGACATTTTTCATGATTATACCTTTTGTCCACTCACCCTGTATCACCACCCTAAAGGGTCATGGTTTCAGATAGATCCCAACTGTTATTTCATTGGTGCATGTGTCTGTACAGGATTGCCAGGCCATGTATGGGCATGTGTGTAGAGACCAGAGGTCAACATTGGCTATCCTTCTGCAGGTACTGCTAACCTTGTCTTTTGCTTTTTTTTTTTGGAGACAAGACCTGTTGCTGGCCTGGAGTTTGACAGGCTGCCTGTATAGTGAACCCTAGGGAACTGATTGTCTCTCCGCCTTCAAGACTGGGCTCATAAGCACATATTGCTTCTTGTGGGTCATGACTAATAGGCACATTGGCCTGTCAGCGAACCCAGACTCTGTTTGTCTCTTCTGTCCCAGCACTGGGCACATAAGCACATACCACCACTCTAGCCTTTTCCCACATGGCCTGGAATCAAACTAATGTCATTCTGTTTGCAGGGCAAATACTACCTACAGAGCTAGTTCACAGTCAATAAACCAACAGGTTGAAAAGTCTCTTTGAACAATATTTTAGCTTGTTCCAATGATGGACTCACTCATAATCTATGGCAAGAAAGTATCTTCTCCCCAGAAAACATGCACATTTCTTTCTGAAATAGAAAGATACCCACAGATTTGCTATACCAACTCTATTTCAATTGAAGATACCACTGACTTTGAGGGAACCTAGACCTGCCACCTCCATTGCAGGCTACCCGATATCTGGTGAACTATCTAAAAGAATTGAATTCATTCAGTAAAACTGGCCACCAATGTAGTGTTAGCCACCTTGGAGAGCTATTCTAGACATAATGAGCTTTCTACTTTTTGACCAGTAGTTGGCATTGATTTCCCATGATCCTACACATAGGTTTCCTGGTATAAAACCCGAAGCCCTCACCATGGCTTCTGTATTAAGTCTGTTCTAGTTTGTTCCTCTGTGGATACGTTAAAACATTGAGCAAAGCAAGTTGGCCAGAGCAGAAGCTCAGGGCTGGAAGTGGGATGCAGGAACTGAAGCAAAGCCTATGGGGGAATTGTGCTTACTGGATAACTCCACAGTTCACAGTCACCAGTTAGTTTTACATAGCCCAGACACAAGTGCCTAAAGATGGCACTGCCCATAGTGGAAGGAGCCTTCTTCATGAATTAGCCATCAAGAAAATGTACCATGAATATGCAAGGCAAATTTTATGGATGTCACTTTTCTCAGGCATGTCAGTTTGACAATGAAAAATAGCCATCAGAGGCACAAACTTCCACCATCACTTTGTCCCCATTTGTCCCTGGACTGCTCCCAGTAACACAAAACCTTGCCACATATGCCACCAAACAATCCTAACCAAAGACCCTGAGGCCCTGTTTAGGACTTCCCTCCTATTTTAATCATCTTCTTTTTTCTACACAATGCTTTCTCTAAAATCTCTTTTTAGTTATTACTGTCTTTGGTACAGATGGTACTCAGATAGATACACACACACACACACACACACACACACACCATACACACACACACACACACACCACACACACACACAGAGAGAGAGACAGAGACAAAGACAGAGACAGAGACAGAGATGAAAACATCACCAGATTAGTCTCAGAACCTTTAGCGGAAATGGACTGGGGATATCCTATTGAGTCTGGAATTCCTAATAGTATTCCTAGCAGGGCCCACTATCCCCCTTGATGAGGTTTCTGAGCTCTAAAAGAATAAATAGAAACAGATGATGAAACCATTGTCTGTCCATCATTGATTTTTCCATTATTCATCATATTTGTATCTAATTATTTATCTACCATCTGTCACCTATCATCCATCTGCTTTAAATGACTTTGTTTAATAACATAGGTATGTTTCATTGAAAATTATCGGTATCCCCTACTAGTTTATGAGTTATATTCAGCCAAGAAGGTGATGTTCTTGGATCCCTGATACTCTGCACAGAAAAGACCGATTTCATTCAGTAGTAATTGAACATCTAAGAGACAGCATCTCTAATGTAATAAACCCATAGCTTCTGAGGCAAGGTGTGGTCTGAACAAAGTGGGCTCTAGTCTTCCCTTGTGGCCCTGCATTTATGTCTGGAAGTATTCAATCATGAGGCATAAAATATTTTCTTTGAAGTAAAAGATCATAATCAATCTTATGATACCTAGGTTAGTTTTTCACTCCCAAAGTCAAAAACAGCAACCAGCAATTTCTGAACACAAGCTGTTAAGTGGCTCCAGGGACAAAGTTGAATTGTTGCCAGGAGCAACAGCTCCTACATTCACACATCTCTTCTCCTGTGTCCCTCACCTGCACCTTCACAACTAATTCTGTATAAGAATCACTTGTTTCCATTGGTCTTTTAAATAAGTCCCTGGAGCACAGAATGGAGATCTGTTACAAGAATG